TCTTCTCCATCTAGTGTTGTGTGTAAGCCTGATTTGGTTTATAATAGGATTTGTTTTAAACGGAATATGATGTAGTTCTAATTTGCTTTGGCAGTAAACTTTTCGTTAAATTGAGTTTGTTTTGGGTGCAAATTAACTAACTAGTACTTCAAACTTCTTTTGTTGAAAAGTAAAAATGCACCGATTATCCGAAGAGGTAAACGCAGTCCCTGCTATTGTTCTTTTCTATTTACAGGGGATCTAACTTACTTATTTAATGACTAAGTTTCTTAAAAATTGACTTTAGCTTAAAGATGATTTGGTTTGCTAGTTAGCTACCTGCGTAATTTAAGTTTGAGAAGTTCAATTTGTTCAAAATTCAAAAAGCATCTCTAAGTGGATCAATTGAGTCGGGTTGTGCAGCTCGCTGAAAGAAATAAATTCTAATTATACTATTATGTTTATGTAAAGAGTTTTAAGAAGAGCTTACCGGAAGACGTTATCAAGGTGCCACACTTATTTGGATAATTTGAGTTCAGCTTCTACAGGTAAGTTCACTACCACCTGTACATGTTTGTTCAACCAAATGCAAGAAAGAAGTCTGGTTGATTTTTAATAGATAATTTTAGACTATTTGCTATTATGTGAACTATGTGAATTATGTGATGAGTTATTTTAATTGCTGGATTAAGTTATGTTTATTATCTGGCATAGTCAAGATTTGTCAGTACTTTTGTTTTCAGATTTAATGATGTTTTTAGTCAAACGCCACCACAAAAAAAAAGAGAACTAATACTTAAAGTGAAAGATAATGTGATATGTACTCGGGAACAAGTTCCCTCAGATTAGCAGTTTTAGTTTTAGATAGTCCGATATGTTTAGTGGGTCGCTCCCCTGAGCTGTCGGATTGGCGCCTTTGAGTACATATCACGGGCCCACAGTTAAAATTAGCCACAAAGAGTTTACAGAAAGTTTATGAGATCTCTTTCAGAAAGTTCTACAGAAAGTTGTTTTTTTTAGATCTCTTTCAGAGAGTTTTACCGAGATGTTTTCAAAAATAAATTCTAAGATCCCTAGCAGTTTTGAAAAATATTTTACAAAATATTTTCCTTTTGAGATCTCACTCAGAAAGTATTTGAGAAGTATGTGTTAGTTATTTGTTCAGTGCATGCTTATAGCCTAAGTTATCTATTGATAAATTGGCCTAGACTTCTAGATATTTTTGTGGAACCATAGTGACTTACTAAGCGTAAAGCTTATCAGTTTCCTTTCTTCGCATGTACAGATACTAAAGACAAGGTCAATGCCTGGGAAGATGATGAGAGAGTGGAACGCGTGCCAAGATGAGTTAACGGGAACGACCTTGGCGGCTTCTAGCTAGCTATTATTATGTTTCAGTATTTCAGCTATTATAATAAAGAGTTTATTATTAATACTTTACTTTATTTAAGGTTTCAAGTTTGAGTAAATTCCTGGATCCAGGTGGTTGTCACATTTGCTGGTGATAACTATATTTTATTAAGTTTTTATTTTGAGTTGTTTTAGTTACTTTTGAGATTTTATCAGGGTTATTTTCTTAAATAGACGGCCGTTATATTGCAATTATTTTTAAAAGTAATATGTTAGTGTAACGTATCCTTTAACCCTCAGAGGGGCGTTACACCCTTAATACCTATTTCGTTTCTCTGCCCTGTGGTCTTCTCTATCGACAAACTAGGGATAATTAATTTCACTTTCATATGGCACAAGGTTAAGAGCGGCTCCTTGACAGAACAACAGAACCGACACACTAAGGCCAAATGAGATGAGGATAGCAGTTGAGGGGGAATGGTGGTGGTGATTGCGTTGGCTGCAGGCCTAATCCCGAGACCAAAGGGACAATGGACGGTGAGTCAGTGAGGAAGAGGTGCAAGGTGCTACCGGAGAACGGCGAAGATGATACAAATCTCTCTTTCTCTCATTCTTCTTCTTCTTCTTCTTCTCCTCCTCCTCCTCCTCCTCCTCCTCCTCCTCCTCCTCCTCCTCCTCCTCCTCCTCCTCCTCCTCCTCCTCCTCCTCCTCCTCCTCCTCCTCCTCCTCCTCCTCCTCCTCCTCTTCAATTCAGTCGTTGCTCTTTTCTCCTCTCATCCTTTAGTCACTACCTGCTCTTTTTCCGTCATTTTCTGCTCTTTTTTAGCTCCTCTTGTTCTTTTCTTTTGTAACTCTTCTTTTAATTTTGTTTGCACGTGTAATTCAATTATGTTTTGTTTATTGTTGTTTCCTCCTTTCTAATTTTCTTTTTGAAATTGAAACCCAGTGTTACTGTAAAAAGTTATAACTCCACTCTTTGATTTTAGCTTTGATATTAAAAACACTCTATATTGTTGATTCTTTTTAACCATTTACATTATGATAATGGAATTATGGCGTCATGCAGTGTCATCAAATATATATGTATATGATTGTGATACTTTTTAAATGCTTTTAAATTGTGAGAGTTCATAAGAAAAATGTTGATAAACGGTCATAATATTATTGCTATTATTTCATTCTTGACAATGACACTATGAATGAATGATTTTCATGTCATTTACTTTTTACAATGTCATTTTTTGTAGCATTGATATTATCATTTATATCTTTATTACAATGTCACTATTATAACATTGACATTGTCATTATTTGACATTGTGACACACTTTTACATTTTGAAAATGTTTATAATGACACTGTTTGTCATTGTGACATTTTTTACATTATCTATAATGACATTAATTTTAAACAATGATATTATATATATTACATTGTCATATTATATACGGAGTATGATGAAAACCATGTCACAACCTAACAATGTCACAATAGTAATATCACAATGTCACGTAAAAATGTCATACTGTCTCAATGTCATCAACTAAAACAACTTTACTTATTAACAATGTCACAATATTAATATTGTTATGTCACAATGTTACTACACAATAACACAATGTTATAAATTCTTCAATGAAAAGAATGTCACTCTTTTATGGTGACACGCTCTTAATATTAAAATGTCACATGCTAGTGTAACTATGTTATACTACCTCCGTCCCAAAATTAACTTCCCATTTGATTTACGATGCTTGACTGACGATAAAGCAACTCGATCCCTGTTCACACTCGGATTATTTTTAGTAAATAAAATTTACATATTCAGAAACTACATTAAAACCGCTACAAAGCCTGATCAAGAAAATTTATATTTGATAAAAATTTGATGTATAAAGTAAAAGATTAGGAGTGATTCAAATCGACTAATGAATAGTGACTGTGAAGTCGTTTTTGGGACGGAGTGAGTATTACATAATCTCACATGACAATGTCATAGTATCACATTGTCATTAATGAAACAATATGTCATAATGTTATTACACAATGTCATCAACAACAAAATGTCATTTTTTGACAATGTTACTGATTTCTTACACGATGTCACAATATCACAATGGCATAAATGAAAGCAATGACTGTAATACCCGAGATTAATATAAGAGGATTAATAGTACTACTCATACCAACATAGGTGCATCTCCTTTTAAGAGAGCTCATCACCCAAGAACTCCAAAGTTAAGCATGCTTGCACGGGAGTAGTCTTGGGATGGGTGACCCCCTGGGAAGTTTCTCAGGGCGCGCATGAGTGAGGACAAAGTGCGCGGTAAAGGCTCGTGGTGGTTTGTGAGGACAGTACTATTGGTCCGGAGTAACTACCTCGGGTCCCGCGGGGCCGGGGTATTACAGGTGGTATCAGAGCAACCCTGCGACAGTGTGTTGATCCGTTGGATATCGGGCAGACACCTAGCAGGGAAAAAGTTTCTGGGATTTGATTGAGATTGGTTTAAGGACGCAACAAGGACGTTGCGATCCTAAGTGGGGGTGATTGTAATACCCGAGATTAATATAAGAGGATTAATAGTAATACTCATACCAACAGAGGTGCATCTCCTTTTAAGGGAGCTCATCACCCAAGAACTTCAAAGTTAAGCGTGCTTGCATGGGAGTAGTCTTGGGATGGGTGACCCCCTGGGAAGTTTCTCAGGGCGCGCATGAGTGAGGACAAAGTGCGCGGTAAAGGCTCGTGGTAGTTTGTGAGGACAGTACTATTGGTCCGGAGTAACTACCTCGGGTCCCGCGGGGCCGGGGTATTACAATGACAATATGTCATCATCGAGAACAACGTTACTTTTTACAATATCACACTATTACTACTCAATCTCACTACATGACACGGTAATAAACTAATAATTTTACAATGTAAGCGATGAAAATAATGTCACCATGTTTATTTTTTAATATAAACGATATAAGTTTTAAAAAACGTATTGACATTATTTTTAATTATATTTGTCATTGACATTAACATTGGTATTGTCATTTTCAAGTCACAAAAAACATTAATATCAAGATTATACTATCACCGTAAAGATTTATCATTATAATTTCATGTCAAACTATTTATTATGAATGAAAAAAGTTATTAAACTAAAGAGTTAATTATCAAAATAGGACTAAAAGTCATTCACTTTGCACAAATAGGACCAAAAAATAAACTATGTTTCCATAGGACTAATTATGTTTGTCTTGGACAAATATACCCTTATACCTATTGGAATGTTTTAATTCATAATAAAATAATAAAAAATAATAAAAATTCGTAAAATATACCAAAAAATTAATAAAAATATTTTGAATAATAATAAATTTTAAAAAAAAAAATTCAAAAAAAATAAAAAATAAAAAAAAATTAAAAAAAATTAAAAAAAAATCAAAAAAATATTTTTTTTGTCACCGCCGCCTATACCGCCCCAGCACCACCACCTCTAGTCATTTGGGGAAAAAATGCCAAATTTATTATGAATTCCATATTTTTGGCATAATTCAGAATGATTTAAGATGGAAGAAAAAAAATGTTGGCATTCTCAAAGAGAAATATGCCATATTTTTGGCATTTTCCGAAAAAAATGGAAGTTTGTAGGAAATATGACATTTTTTTTTAACGGTCGGAGGTGGTGGTGCAGGGAGGCGGTACCACCACCTCCTGTCACCGGGGTAAAAAAATGCCAAAAAAATTATGAATGCCATATTTTTGGCAAAAGTCAAAAGGATTCAAGTTGGCAGAATGAAAATGTTGGCATTCTCATAGAGAAATATGCCATTTTTGTGGAATTTAAAAAAAAAGTGGCATTTTTTACACCGATCGGAGGTGGTGGTTCAGGGAGGTAGTACAGGCGGTGGGAAACATATCCATATTTTTTTTAATTTTTTTTATGGAGTTTTACTATTTTTTTATTAATTTTTAAAATAAAAAAAAAATTAAAAAAAAAATTTTTTCTTATTTTTTATTTTATAAAAATTTATTAATTTTTTTATTATTTTTCTACGAATTATTGAAATTTTTTCGAATTTATTATGAATTAAACATTTAATTATGACTTTTAGCTATCTTTTACTAATATTTAAAGGAGGGGTAAGAATGGAAGGAAGAAATGAGTATGTTTCCAATAGGACCACTATGGTCCTATTTTGGAAAAAAAACATAACAAGTCCTATTTTGTGTTTTTGCCATAGTTTTAGTCCTATTTGAAGTAATTTCTATAAACTAAAATATGAAAAACGGTCCAAAAATTAATTATTTGGGTGAATCTGCAAAAGAAAATAAAACGGCAAAAATAATACGAGTAAATACGTAGTACTAAGTAAAAATTGAAATTGAAAAAGTTAACAAATTGAAATGTCAAACTAGAATGAAAGTGTATTATGATGTATTGCAGGGCACACCGGCACGAACAAAATCAGAAAAAGAAAGCAATAGAGACTCGCACCGGGTTACAGAAAAGAAGAATGAAAAAGAGAAGAAGAAAAGAGCTAAGATCGATGAAAGAAAAGAAGAAGACTAGGGCCCGTCGACTACTCCGGCAACGAGTTGCGGTAGATCGTCAGTGAAAACCGCACATCTCCAGTGGGCACCTACGAGAAGAATTACTCCGGTGTTCTCCAATGGTCTTTCTCTTCGATGAGAAGAGTTACTCCAGGAGCATGTTAACTATGTTGGCAGCTGTTGTATGCATGAGTACATAAGGGTCTTTTTATCCCTTCCGATCAAAGTTAGTCATATTTAGGGTTCAAAAAGTTGTAACTCCTATTTAAATTCATGGCCTTTGTTTTAGGAAAAATTCCTTTTGTACACGTTCTTATATACATCAGTATACCTGTGTCAGTGAGAGTTTTTTTTGTCTGTGAATGCCAGTTCACAGACAAAAACGGATTGTTTTGTCTGTGGAAAATTCTACAGACAAAACAAGTCAGGTTTTGTCTGTGAATTAACATTCACAGACAAAAAACCTCTCATAGACACGGATGTGTACTGGTGTGTACGATAACATGTACACCAAGAATTCTCCTTGTTTTAGTCCTATTTATGTCTTTCTCTCATTACTAAGAGTTAGTTTTTTCTTTGTTTTTGGAAACAAAGAGCCGGTTATGAATTCATAATATCATTATTAAAACAATAGATAAATACGAACAAAAATACTCCTCTGTCCCATAAAACTTGGCCGAATTTTCTTTTGAAGTAATATGTGATTAAAGTTATTTATCCCTCATTTGCACAAATTTTAACCACACAAATTTTAATTTACGTGTAAATCAATTAAAAAATTTTGGCCAAGTTTCTTGAGGAGCGAGTACTTCCTAAATAAAACCATAGCTAACTCGAAATCTGGGGGAAATTGACAGAAAGAAGAGTCAAACTGTAAGAAATAGCAAGTGACATCAATTCATCATTCCCCCGCCCAATCGCTGGGATAGAAACTTTCGGGCAAGGTCGCGTTTCTTCAGCAATTTGGATTTCCCCGACCTCCGTCTCTTGTAGACATCTCCAGTATTGAACTTTTTTTTATATTCAAATATTCTGGGCACATACTTTATTCATGTCAGTGTACGGTAATTGTTGATTAGTTACCCCGTCAATTACTTACCGCTACTAGATCATTGCTTTGCATATCCGTATCTTCTTCTATCTTGAATTTTGGTTGTGTGTTTTTTAATAAGATTACGGCAGCAGGATTTCAGTTGAAGTTGAGGGCGATTAGTTTGGATGTCCAAGTATTGGGGGAGCCATTTTAAGTGTGTAGTTTGATCTTTGTGGTGCGTATAAGAATTGGGCCGGAGTCATTTTCAGCACACGACCTGAGTTTTCTTGCGATTCATGAATTCGTAGAAATGAAGAGGTTGAAAAATGAGGTACCCAACATGAGGAGATTCAGATTGTCATATATTCTCTTGGGTTTATCTGGATTTTATTTGATTATCATTTGCTTTAAGTTCCCGGAGTTTCTTGAGAGCGCCACAGCTTTTAGCAGTGACAATGGAGATACTGCTAATATGGGTATGGATGCATTCTTTACCGGGGAGGAAGAAGATGGTGAAGAAGAACTTAAGAAACGGCATCTGGGTTCCGTTTACATAGATGATTATAACCGGATTCTTCAAAATAATCCTAACTTCGATGCACCTGTAAAGCCTCATAATAGGATCGATTACAGTCGAATAGCAACTGCAGTCTTAAACAGACCCGGCATGACTGGTAATCTTACTGTATTGGACAGAATGGCAGAGGAAGCTTGGAATTTAGGGTTAAAGGCGTGGGAAGAAGCAGATGAATATGACGAGAAGGAGATGATCACAAATTCCATAATTGAGGGAATGCCTGAATCATGCCCATCCTCCATCACCACAAATGGGGAAGATTTGGCTAAAAGGGACAGTGCTATGCTCCTTCCATGTGGCCTTTCAGCCGGCTCTTCTGTCACAGTGATTGCCACTCCGGGCTATGCGCATCGTGAGTATGTGCCTCAGCTTGCTAAGAGAAGTCACAGAGACGCTTTTGTTTTAGTCTCCCAATTTATGTTTGAATTACAAGGCTTGAAGTCTGTGGTTGGGGAGGACCCACCAAAGATTTTGCATCTGAACCCTCGGTTGAGAGGAGATTGGAGCCACCGGCCAGTAATTGAGCATAATACCTGCTATAGGATGCAATGGGGTAAATCTCACAGGTGTGATGGTATACCTTCCCTAAGTGATGAGGATATGCTTGGTAAGAAGAGCTTTTAAGTGAATTATTACTGTGTTGTGGGTGTATTGTTTGCAACTGTTATTGTGAACTGAAACTAATTTTGATGAAGTATTTCTGGTAGGGAGCATATACAACCAACATTCGGAAACCCTATTTTAAACTTTGTAGAGAAAATTGGCCAACATGTACCTCTTTTTTACTTCCTATTTGTTACAGAAGAGAAGCTAGAGGTCTATGCCCTTTATATGATGAAAGGAAGCAGAAATAGTTGTCATTATAGTATTTTCTGTATCAGGAACTGATAGTTTTTAATTTTCCAAAAAGGGGCTTCTTCCACTTTTTTCTTTTTATATGGCCTGTAAATGGGATGAAGAATCCTTAATACCCTGAAAATCCGTACCCTGAAAATCCAATCAGACAATCACTCTGTTGTTAAAAAACTTACTGACCTGTTCTCATTTGCTACCACATCTGTTGGTAAAATTTTAAAATCAGTACCCAAAGGTGTAAATGTCGTATGTTCCTTTTTAATGCAAAAATTAGTTAAAATATTTTAAAATGGAAATTTTAGTAAGGTCCATTTTTAGGAACTTTAATGTTATTTAATATGTTGTCTTAATCCATGTATTTAATTAATTTTTGTGATCCCTCACTTGTATCCGATAGAGAAATTTTGGCATCTTGCTTCAGTAGTTATGTTAACATGTTAGCACTATTTATACTTTCCCCTTCAGCCCCCCGCGCCCTCAAAACGGTCTTGTTTTTGCAATATTATTTTCAATATTAGAAAGGAAGAACTTTTTATAGGTGAGGTAGTAATAATGATTTCAGAAAGTAGTTTTGATATTTAAATCACCACCATGACACAATGTTAAATTTACTAGTTATATGTCATGTGAGTGAACAAATTTCAATCGTTTAAGATACATAAATAACCATATTTTAAAAAGGTGAGGGGCCAAAAGAAAATTTTCCCAATTATAATGCTTATATAGTCACCCGTGATGTCTGAATTAGGGAATAAAAAGGTAATTGCGATCCACGTAGGAGGCTTCAAATATTATGTAACATTTTAAAAATCTAAACCTGTAATGTGAAGTGAGAAAGAACAGTTCTATATGCATATAACTTCCATATGAACTAGTAGATAAAGTTATGGGGGATATGCGCGTTTTGCTAAAAATAGAAAGAGGAAATATTTTAGTGATATGAAGTACTATGTATTAAGTTAAACACATAATATACCTATCAACTTTATGCAACTCTTCTTCCCCAAGATAGACATCCTATGTATTTCCTAGAAAAAATGAGTGATCTTACTTAATCATTCTTTTTGCTGCTTTATCACCTTCTCGTGCAGTTGATGGGCATTTGAGATGTGAAAAATGGATGCGAAATGACATTAACGCTTCAAAAGAGTCCAAAATATTTTCTTGGTTTGATCGGTTTATAGGACGAGCAAAGAAGCCGGAGCTGACCTGGCCATTTCCCTTTGTGGAGGGTAAAATGTTTATTCTCACTGTCCGTGCTGGCATCGATGGGTTTCATATAAGTGTGGGTGGACGACATCTTTCTTCATTTCCATACCGAACGGTATGTTTGTATGTACTCATAAGCATCAACACTCGATTTACTTAAATTCTGATAACCTATTTAACTTTCCTCGGTGGACTTCAATTGTTACAATGTCCTTGAGTATAAGTGTATGATTTTACCTAACAACAATATCTAGTACACTAAATAGATGAACATGATGTTAACATTGAATAAGGGCACACTTTTGAGAGCACATTAGTGAGTTGATTCCCATGGTCGTCTATCAAGGAAATTTGTTGCCCTTCCAGTGGGCAATTTTCCAATTACTCAACATATAAGCCAGTTCGTTTTTTCAAAATACAAACTTATTTCAGTGTCGGATGATCGGTAATAAATTAATAATGAAAAAAGGTTGTTTTTGTGCACAAGTCACTTTTTTGTCTAAATGGCTGAAGTTAGTGAAAATGACGCTTCAAACTTCATTTTTTTTAATTTCTTTAAGATACTCTAAAAATATATTTTAATTAACTATTTTTGATAAATAGCCAAATTCAACCCAAAAAGACACAATTTTAGCAGATTCCTATTTTAGGCCTTGGTACATGGGCTCTTAAGCTCGCCTTAGATATGTTTTATTCTTCGTCTCGTATGCCCTGTTGAGCTCATATATCTGTTAAAAAAGTAAAGTGTTGACTGGTAAGGTCAATGTCAGTTGTTTTGATGTTATATTCCAGTTGTTTTAGTGGCTTATTGTTTCTCTCTAGGGATTCACACTGGAAGATGCAACAGGGTTGTCTATAAGAGGTGATGTTAAAGTTCACTCAGTTTTTGCAACCTCTCTCCCAACTTCTCATCCAAGCTTCTCACCCCAAAGAGTGTTGGACTTCTCAGAGAAATGGAAGTCTTCCCCATTACCCCGTAATCCTATTCGTGTTTTTATTGGCATTCTGTCTGCCACTAATCACTTTGCAGAACGCATGGCTATTAGAAAAACATGGATGCAATCTCAAGCAATCAAATCCTCAGATGTAGTGGCCTATTTCTTTGTTGCATTGGTATGTTTCTCACTTTATAACTTTTATGTCATTTGAAAAATCTGATCAGTAAATTGGTAGAGTATATCTCGTTTTCAGATTTTACAAAAAGCATGGGTACTACTTGGATTATTTCACATATAGAAAAATATGAATAAGTCTGGTTCTTGATTGTGAAATTATTATTCACAAAGGTTGCTTCGACTTAGTGGTGCATTAATACCCGTGCATTTAATCATATGGATGGTCATTCTTATCATTCTCAATGACTTGTTCTTCTTTAATATTGGAGACAAAAATATCCACAGTTTTGTTGCTTTATCCTAGATTTCCAGATTTTCTAATGTTTCCTTTGGGTTTTTCGTTCTTTTCCCACAACTATTTAGTTATGAAAGGTTTGTGGATCGTTCATATGGATGTGCCAAAACATGAAGCTTAGGATATATTTTGTTTGGGATATTTTTGGGGAGGAATTTGAAGTAAATAGTGCTTATAACTATTTCCTCTTTTGTTATTATATCAGAAGTGTTATGGGAAGTAAAGGGAGGTCTAACCCTGCCAAGTTGTATTCCTTTAGATCAAATTTCATATGTCAACTAATGATATTTCTTACTACGTATTATTTAACCAATAATAGTTTGATGGTTTCGGAAATTGTATGCTTTTCTCACAAAGATGAAATGTTTGGCAACAAATATCAATATTGTTTTCCTTAGAAAAGTAGGTTTCAACTGTTTCATTTCCTCAACTGGATGAAATTTCAAATAATATATGCAGAATCCAAGGAAGGAGTTGAATGCAATTTTAAAAAAAGAGGCTACATACTTCGGGGACATAGTAATATTGCCATTTATGGATAGATATGAGTTAGTGGTTCTCAAGACTATTGCCATTTGTGAGTTTGGGGTAAGTAGTGCTCATTTCCTATTTAAAATGTTGACATCTTTCTCCCTATCCGTTGTGCTTAGTTATTCAATTCATGTGTCCGAGAACTCATTCCAGGTTCAAAATGTGACCGCTTCTTACATTATGAAATGCGATGATGATAACTTTGTAAGACTTGATGCTGTTCTTCAAGAAATCAATCATCTTCCTCCTAGAAAGCCTCTTTACATGGGAAATCTGAATCTCTTGCACCGACCTCTGAGAAACGGAAAATGGGCAGTCAGTGCTGAGGTATGTAGAGGTGAATGACATTAGCATTATATATGCAAACATTAAATCACGTTGACAACTTATTTTGAAAATCAGCCCTTGTATTAATTTATGTAAACAGGAGTGGCCAGAAGATGTTTATCCTCCCTATGCTAATGGGCCTGGATACATCATTTCCAATGATATTGCCAAATATATCTCCTCTCAGCATCTCAATCACAGTTTACGGGTTTGTGATAAAAAAACTCCTTTATCTTCCTCGGTATCAATGTAATACTATGTGCCCGTTTGGTAGGCAACATTTTCTGTTCATCAGCCAGATTTTGCACTACGCTAGTTGAAACAGCTGATAATGGAAAACACATGCAGAAGTTAAGACCCCCATTCGGTAACACTAGATTTGGCTGAATTTGTTGAATTCGTGGCTGAATTCAACACTTGAATTATGAAATTATGAAATTTTATATTTAACATATATTTTATTAATGAACTAAAGCAAAAGGTATACAAAAAAAGTTAAAATTGTTCTTTTTGGTAACTTTAGATAGAGAAGTACTTCTAACCATAGTTATTTTGATAATTAGACAGTGTCTTGTAAAAAATCTGGATCTTGAGCCAAATAGGGTCATTATCTTCGTAATTAATATTAATAAGAGTGTTAAAATATTTTAGATCATTCAGCCATTTTAGCAACAAATTTAGCACATTCGTTGTGTAACGTCTCCCAAATGGACTCTAAATCTTCCCCGCATTTTAAATTTCTCATTGAAATTGACAGATATTCAAAATGGAGGATGTGAGCATGGGAATGTGGGTGGAGAAGTACAACAGCACAAACCCCGTCCAGTATTCTCACAACTGGAAGTTCTGTCAGTATGGATGTACAGAGAATTACTTCACCGCGCATTACCAATCTCCACGACAAATGGAGTGCTTGTGGGACAATCTACTCAAGGGCCGTGTTCGTTGTTGCAACTTCTAGATTATTACATCCCCACTTGAAATTCACACTGAATCTTTGGTCTGATTTCGTGCAAGTTTTTTCCAGCAGATGTCGGTTACCCTACAACCGTTTAGGATTGTGAACGTGTAGGGTTTTCTACAGATTGATTGGTTAGTTTTGTTTCAAATAGCCATTACAGTGTCGATTGTAGCATTTGGGGACCTCTCTGCCCTGGCACTGAACCAGCAATCGGGTTCCTTGTCAGTGCTGAAGAGCCATTTATAGTACAGTAAGGTCTGTATGGCTGGACTCTGGATGCCAATTTTGTGAGCAATTTTTTTTTATAATGTGTGTGTGTGAGGGGGGGGGGGGGGGGGGGGGTACATTGTTTCCTATCAAAATTTGTTTGCTATTCTCTAAAAATCTGCAAACCATATTAGATAGTACTACGTACATTGTACTACTGGTAGTGGTACACCATTAATGAAATTTAATCCCAAATGAATGAAACGATTGAAGCTGCCTAAAAAAGTTAGAACTTAAAGGCAAACTCTCTCATCTTGCTTTGGGGGGGGGCATGTACTGCTTCCTATCAAAATTTGTTAGCTATTATCTAGAACTTTGCAAACCATATTACATTGAATTACTTGTACACCATTACTGAAATTTGATTCCAAATGATTGAGGCTGGCTAAGTAAATTCAGAAATTAGAGGTAAACTCTCTCATCTTGGTTTGTGGTTTCAGCCTGATTTACCAATGCAAATGGGGGCCGGACCGCCGGTGCACTGTTGAGGTTTGGCTCTAAACCTTAACTGAAATGTGGAGTAGTGGTGCTGGTTGGTCGACATTACCCGTGTTGGTTCTGATTCTTAGTTGGGCTAGAAGTGATTACAGAAGTTTATATTTGGAATTGACCCGTCTTATTACAATATAAATAAATCACATTTTGATCGACGATAGCCACATATTGATTTGAAATCATTCTACATGACTGTTTGTCAAGGGGAGTTGGGGGGTGGCCTGTAGGGATGGACTCGGTTCGGGCCGGGCCCGGTTTAGGCCTTGAACCGGCGGGGCCTCGGTTCAAGGTATGGGAGGCCCGGAACCGGCCCGGGTAAACCCAGGTCCGGTTCGGACCGGGTCACCCGCCCGGTTCACGGGCCGGGCCGCCCGCCGGGCCGGGCCTTATATATAATATAATAATATAATATAATATATAATATATAGAATTATTATAATAATATAATATATAATTTTATTATATATAGAATTATTATAATAATATAATATATAATTTTTTTAAAAAAATATATATATTATATTATTATAATAATTCTTATTAAAAACAAAATTCAAGTGCATTTATTTGAAATAGGAAGTACATTTGAGAATTGAGAAAACAATAACAATATGAAATACATTTTCTAATAAATATCAATTGGGATTTCCGCCACCGTTGGTTGTTGTTTTGCCTTTGTCACATGACTTCATATGTTTTATTGGCATCCCGACTCCGTGTGAACGCCCCAAGCAACACTCTTTCTTGCACCACTTGCAAGTTACCCACCACAGTCCGGTCTTTGGGTCCTTCCACTTATCAAAATTGTTTTGCATAACAGAAGAATTACTTTCTATCTTTAAAATGGTAGATGTATAAGTAGAAATGTAGGATAATAAGAGAAGATGAAGATGGAGAAGAGTTGGATAAGAGGTGTAGAAAAATGGTAGAAAATAGATGTATTTATAGATTGTTTTGAACCCCACCCCCCACACCACCACCCCCGGGACCCCCCTGCCCCCCCACCCTAAGCCCCAACGGCTATCTAAGTGTTTGTTTCCCCTTTCCCTTGTCTATTTTCGCATACTCCACAAAATGGGCGGACTTAAGATGCCTTGTGAGACTCCCGTATCCGCCAGAAGTTCCCAAGCTATACTCTTTGCCGCAATGATTGCAACTTGCGTACCATTTTTCGGTATTTTTGTCTTTCCTTTTTGTAAAATTGTTTTCAATAATAGGAGATTTAGATTTCTTGCCAGTTTGGGTTGAACCGCCCTTGTCCTCCAACTCTTGCTCATCATCCGAGGTGCCGTGAGTCCCGTTGCCCCCCCCCCCCTCCCCCCCCCCCCCCCCGCGTCCTCCTCCGCATCGTCATCCTCGAGCTCCTCTTCATCAATGGTTGTCGGGATGTGTTGTTCTTGTGCAAAGTGTGGATCATTTTGGGACAATAGGTTTTGTAGATGCTCGTCGGACATCATCATATCATCTCGCCGTTGGTAATCCGTTTCAAAGTCATCTCGACTTTGAAAAGAAGACTCGGCCTGTGCTTTACCTTTTCCTTTGCGTGAAGTAGGACGAGTCGACGCAATCTCCCTCTTGCGGTTGCGTTGGAGATTACCCACATCTACAGAATGTCTACCACGCTCCATCTTTAAAATTGAACAAATATTAAATGATATCAAATATTATATATGAGTACAATAGTAATAATAAAATGTGACTAAGAAAACTATAGCAAATTCGAACTAAAATATGAGTATATTTTAGTGTAACCATTTGTTTTCCTTGACAAAAAAATCGAACTACTTCTAATTAATACTTTAATGAGAAATGTAGCAATTAACTAATATGAGAAATGTACAAATTAACTAGTTTTTTTTTTTTACTTTAATGAGCAATGTAGCAATTAACTAATATTAATATGAAAAATGTAACAATTAAGTAGTTTAACTAGTTTTTAAAATGACAAATGTAGAAATTAACTACTTTTTTTTACTTTAATGAGCAATGTAGCAATTAACTAATATTAATATGACAAATGTAACAATTAACTACTTTAACTAATATTAATATGACAAATGTAAAAATTTAATACTTTTTTTATTTAATGAAAAGTGTAGTAATTAAATAAGTAACTAGTTTAACTAATATTAAATGATAAATGATATGTAACAAGTAACTATTTTTTTTCTTTAAAGAAAAAATGTAGAGAAATGTAACAATTAACTAATTTAATAGATAAATGAGAAGTCTAACAATTAACTACTTTTATAAAATGCATGAATGTGTATAAGTCTATATAGTTTATATAACTTGTAAATGTATAATATAATGTTTATAGTATATAATAATATATAAGTATATTACTATAAGATGAGTAATACACTTATACTTAATACTTATATATATATATATATATATATAAATTATATATATACATATATAAGTATATATTAACAAAATGTAATATGTAAATATAAGTAAATAACAATAGTATGGATAAAAACTAAATATCAAATAAATATGAATGTGTATAAGTATATATATAGTATATATAATGTGTAAATATATTATAAGTAATATATAATATAATGTTTATAGTATATAATATATAAGTATATTACTATAGGATGAGTAATACACTTATACTTAATACTTTAATATATATATATATATATAAGTATATATTAACTAAATGTAATATGTAAATATAAGTAAATAACAATAGTATGGATAATAACTAAATATCAAGTAAATATGAATGTGTATAACTATATATAGTATATATAATGTGTAAAGAATTATAATATGAATGTGTATAAGTATGTATTTATAAGTAGATAATTAATATATAAGTAGAATAGTAGATATAATAATTATATAAATTATATATATGTAGAAAGAATTTGGAGAAGATGAAGAATGAAGATGATTGAATATAAGAGATTGAGAGAATAGAGAATTAGAGAGTAGGTAGAGTTGTAGAAGAAGAGGTGTAAAAAATGTATAGAAAATAGGAGTATAAATAGGTTTTTTTTGTATACCCCACCCCCACCCCCACCCCACCCCCTAACCCCCCAGACCCCCCCTCCTATGCTCCCAACGGCTATAGAGCCGTTTGGGAGCTCTCCCAACTGCTAGAGAGCCTTTACCAATTTTAAATAAAAAAAATTAAAATATTACCGTGAGGCCCGGCCGGGCCGGTTCACTAAACATCAGGCCCGGGCCCGGACCGCTATCCCACCGGGCCGGGTGGCCCGAACCGGGCACCAACCGGTTCACCGGTCCGGGCCCGCACAGTAGCGGGCTGGTCCGGTTCCGGGCCGGTTGGCCCGGCCCGAGTCCATCCCTAGTGGCCTGTTCTGGACTCCTAGTCCAAATTTAGGATCATGGCTCTCAAATGACACCGAATTCCCTTTGGCCTCTCGATAGATTTTTCATACAAGCTATCTTACTTTCCGTTGTAATGTTTTGTACGAAATTCAATTAGAGTATTAGACTCGTGGGTAGAAGTATACATGCAAATACGATAAAAGACCAAGGAGGTGTTGATGGAGTATATGGCCCGGGAGCCCCCGGCCCATTGACTCCTACTTCTCCTACACAAGTCCATTGAGCCCAGAGAACAACTCAGGCCCAAGTGTAACGGCCCAAACCTCGAGATAGCTCGGAATACGCACTGGGATGCCTTCGGCCTCCTTGGCCGAAGGCTCTAGAACTCACAGGATAGCCTCTCTGGCATAAGAAGCTACTGGGAGAAAACGGCGAAAAACATGAGCCTTCGGCACTATCAAGCCCTCGGCACTATCACATCATGCCTTCGGCCGCACAGGGGTCCTCGATTACATGGAGCCCTCGGCTACACAAGGAGCCTTCGGCCAAACACGCTCAATCATCGGAGATTCCTTTTAGAGACAGCCAACCACCGCATTTAATGCCACGTCACATCCACCAACCGCATTCAATGCGGTTGGCGTACCACTGCCGGTGCCAACCGGTTGATGTGACCTTTCGGCCGTTGGATTACTGACACGTGTCCTCTCATCGCATTTATTGCTGCTATAAATAGCAGCCCATTTCTCCTTGTAAATCATCATCTATACCTCAACTCCACACGCTGAGTTCATTTAATAAAATCGACTCTCTCTCCTCCTATTTGCTCTGACTTCTCTCTAAGTTATTCCCGCAATAACCCCTCGGATAAGATACCCCCCGGGTAGACTATCCATCATTTGGTGCTCTCGTTGAGAGGTCTGAACTATCAAGTAAGAAACCCTCCCCCTCTACCAAATACAGAACGCCTACCAAAAATGGGGAGAACCACTCGTGCCCAGTCCAAAACCCTAGAGGAAAACCACGCAGCCCCCGGCGAAACCAACGGGGTTGAGGCCTCCAACAGGCTCTTGGTGCCCGAGGGTGGTATCATCCTCGAATTGGAGCAGGCTACTGCTGACCTCCGTCAGCAACTACAGAAGAACGCCCCTGATGCCCGCATTGGCCTTGATAATCGAAGGAGGGATCGGAGTGAGAACCAAGTTCCCCCTCCGGCCCCGACCATCGATCTTCAGGCAGCCT